GAGAGAGAGAGAGAGAGAGAGAGAGAGAGAGAAAAGAAGTGAGGTGCAACTTACAAAGTGTCTTCGTTATTTGGGCCATTTCGTCTGATGTACTTGATTGCTACTTGTCTGGGGAAATAAAAATGAATAATATCTATATTATTATTTGTGAAAGTTCGTCACTTTGGTTGCCTAAAACTTCCGAACCAGTCAACTTTCGAATTTGAAAAAATTAACGGTGGTTCAGAATCATTTAAAGGGTGCACAGTTATAGTTAGGAGTCTAAAGTCAATGTAGTTTAATCTTCAGTTTTTCTTTAGTTTCGTTTTGATCTAATATTGGGACAGTCCGTCTTCTAAGACGCCATTGTAAGCAAGTGAGGCTTCTGTTCACAAGAAGTGCGCGCTGTTTCCCCAGTGACTTGACAATCGATTCTTTTGATTCCGATCATCGAACGGGTACCCAGCTAGTCGATGATATAACCATAAAAACATCATAATAATAGAGTATTTCAACCTGTCTACTGGGATGTTGTATTTCTCTCGGCCCAGGTTGGACCTGACAGGTTGGGCCAAAGCCCGTCTCCGGAATAATCTAAACAGTGTTGATGGGGGCGTACAAACACCTACAAAAAATTAACACTGGTATAGAACTGGGATTTCTCCAATAAATGTTCTTATTAAAATAACAAATAGTTGATTGCCTTGGTAATTTTTTGTGGTTCTGCAATGCAGATGATCCTTCGAGTCCCATGTGGGGCATTTTTTTAAACTGATTTGTCTGAAGAAATTATTTTAAAGAACTATTTTCACGTGACCCTCCTCCGTCTGAAATACACGTAGAATTTAGGGCTCTGAAATGGAAGTTTAACATAATATACAATATAATATCTCACATATCATATCATACAATACCAGGCAATATAGATCTAATACCATACCATACACTTCGATAATACAATACAACATAACACAGGACCACGTATACCATATCATACAGGATAATTAATACATTACAATAAAACGACACAACTGCAATACCCTGTTTACTATACCACGCAGTACTATTCATTGTAAAACAACACAATAACGCACAATACAAAACCATGTAGTGAAATACAATACATCATGACACAATACATGGAATTACGATACCTTACAAGGCAAGAAAATAAGATACTCTACCTTGGGGAAATAAAGAATAATTTTTTTCAGGAAAGTTAATGTTTCGAATTAAAACTCGCTCACTCTGTTTTAGCAAGACCTATTTAGTGCTAATTCTTGTACCCTTACAGAAAAGTGTTCTAACAATTCATTCGCCTATCTTTATACAAACTTCTTGTTTCTTTTTTTTGGTTTCTTTTTCTTTGTTCCCTGAGCTAACGCTAAGTAGAGCAGCCTTGCTTTATTCCGGCGGCCTGCCGCGGGAAGTTTGCCTGATGACGTCTGCTGAGAATGATCCCCACGGTTGAGCTTGGCGTCTGCCTAGAGTTATATACCTTGTCTACTGTCTCGCTGCGTGACGTTAGTCATGTCCCCCTTACCTCAGTTGGAACCGCTGAATAGGAAATTGTCGCCCCTTGGTACTGCTATTTATAGCGCGCGCGACACAAGATGTATGACGCGCATGCTCATCAACGTCAGATGCTGACAGACGAAAGGCGTGCGGGAATTTGTCCCCGAGATGAAGCAAAGCAGCGAGGCGGTCAGTGGTACAGTAGGCTAGGGGGAAGGTACATGAAGTAGGTATATAGGGTCAGGATCGACTGAAATAGTTATGTATGCGTTGTTGTTGTTGTTTGTTGTTGTTTGTCGCGGTGTTTTGTTGTTTTAATTGCAATATTATCGTTTTACGGGGGTGGGGGGCTGGATGTTGTTGTTTTTTTGTCGTTTATTTGGCAATA